GTATTCAAAGGATATAAATAAGGAATTCTCAAGGGAGGATATCAAAGCTATCTATAGTCATAAAAAAAAAATCAAAGCTATTTATAGCCATAAAATAAAAACTATTTATAGCCATAAATAGGTCTAAGTCCTTGATTAGAAAAATGCAAATTAAAGCAACACCCCTTAGATTTGCAAAGTTGACCAAAATGGTACATGAAAAATGTTAGAGAGGCTTCAGGCAAACGGGCAGATTGATATATGACTGTTGGAGCCACGAATCGGGAAAACAATTCTGGAAAGCGATTTGGAATCATTGCTCTCAAATTACTCACCTACACGCTCTCTGATCCAGCCATGCTACCACCAGGCCTATCTAGACTCCAAAGAGATCAAAGAGCAAAGAGGCCTCTGTGCACAAAAATCTTTATAGCAGCTCTTTGTAGTGACCTCTTAGAGCTGGGGACTGGGAGTTGTGTCATGCTTGGGAATGGCTGAACCAATGATGGAATATAAGTGTAATGGGATAATATCACGATGTAAGCAATGAAGAGACAGTTTCAGAGAAAGAACCTGGAAGACTTGTATGTACGGATGCAGAGAGTACAATTCATATTCTAACATCAATATTGTAAAAATGAACAATTCTGAAAGAATTCTGACCAGTGAAATGGTCAATCAATCATGGTTCAAGAAGAACAACGATGAGTGCTACCCGCCTCATGACAGAGAAGGCTAACATATAGAGACATGTTTTGGGATGTGATATATGGGAATTACGTTTTCTTGATTACGTTTATTTGGTACAATGGTTTTGTATTCCTTTTTCTTTTGAGGGGAAAGGGAGGGGAGATAGGAAGAAAAATAACTGCTTGATAATTTTTTTAAAAAAGGTATCTTTTTTTTTGGTGGGGCTATTGGAGTTAAATGACTTGGCCAGGGTCACACAGGTAGTGTCAAATGTCTGAGGTCAGATTTGAACTCAGGTCTTCCTGACTCCAAGGCCAGTGCTCTATCCACATATCTTTTTTAAAAGTACAACTGAGCATAACCCAGGCAAATGATCCAGATGTCTACGGGTGCCCAAATTCAGGTGCTTTGGAGGAAAGCTACCTATCTTCTACCTAAGGCAACCCAAATAATTAAAAGCTCCTTGGTTGGGCTGGCCATTGGCTAGCTATTGCTAAGCAAAAGAACAGAATGAAAAATAGGATAGCTTTAGAGTGGAAATCTGGAGTTGTAACCCTTGATCTGGTACAATATCATCAGTGTCCATGGGAACTTCACACAGTCTCTCCAGGAAGGTCTTAGTTTCACTGCGGATGCGGTTACTTGGTTTCATATATACATCACACACAAGGTAGAGGAGCAGTGTGGTGTGAGTGAGTGACAAGCTCTGCAGCCAGGGACTACATTGTGACCCCAGGGGCTTGCCATCTTCATGTCCAATCAGTAAAACAGGGGAAGTGTATTAAATGATCTCCTGAGTCTTTTTTTAATTCTGAAGTTTTATGAAATGTCCCTCCAACTTTTTTTCTAGAACTCATCATGATCTCTAAATGAAAACCTGCTGATTCACAGAGTTGGAAGAACTTAGAAGGCAGAACTGGGTTCTATATACTCCCCTCAAACTTGTCCTTGGCTATATTGTGAAATATGAATTTGCATAAAAGCTGAGGAAAGCATTTTTCAGGCTCTGATTAGTTTGGCAAAGTTCATTCTCTTCTTCCCAGCCCTAGGTGCAACCTTTCCCTCCTCATTCCTCTGCTTTCAGGAAAACATTTCCTTTTTAGGAGAAAAGGAAACCCCACTTGCCTTCATTATCTTGGAGTGTGGGAAGGCCAAAGGCGTGAGGGGAAAAGGGGGAAGTGATTCTTTATAGATACAAGGATGCACTGTCATAGAAAGGAGCTCATTCTTTTCTCCTCTCCATCTTGGCTCTGTATGGGTTATACCTTGGGCACCAAAACAAGGTCTCGCCCTTCTGGCTGCCCCCACTACGTACACTGAGCTGCCCTGCTCCCAGGCCTCTGCCTCTTCAGCTCCAGTAGAATCATGACCTTCTCAAGGCCCAACTCAAAGGCAATAGCCTTGTGGGCACTCTCTCCCCTCACTTCATGCACACTTCTCGTGGGCTCTTGTTAAATGCGAGTCATGCTCCCTTTCTAACCTGTAAGCTGAGGGCTAGGACTAAGTTTTATCCAAGCCTTGCCTTTCATCCTGGGGCTATCGTCAACCAGTAAGCACTTAGTAAGCACCACTTGTACCATGTCCTATTCAAAGGCAATGGAAACGACATAGCTCCTGCTTTATATACAACCTATATCCAGAGCTTTCAGGGAGAGGGGCCACTCGAAGCTGGGTCTGATGCTTTATCACAATTGTAGTCCTTTTGCTTTAAGTAGGAGCTAAATTGAAACCCCCTCCCCCCATTCTTCTGCTCTTATGTTATTCTCCTCTTCAGCCACCTCATTCCTGCCACCAAATAGTCCCAGGCATATGTAGGGCTGGGATTGCCTTCCTCCTCCTCCTTCCTGCAGGCAGTTCTTAAAAGAAACCTAAATCCTAGAGTAGGGAGTGACTTAGAACTCATTGAACCCCTTTGTTTCAGAGGAAAAGGAGGCCCAGAGAAAGTTAGCTCTTTGCTCAGGGTCACACAGAAGGTGAGAGCTACTTCCCTTGCAATATCTTTGTAAGAGGTTGAACTTCCTCTAATACTGGACTTGTCCCATGTGACCTTATTAGATCCACGAACTGCCATCCTCTTTGATCTGGCACAGAACAGGAATTCAATGTTTATTGGCTAACTTTGCAACTCTCATGATTCCCTTCCTCCTTCATCTATTACACTGAATATTTTTCTGTTGATACAAAAGAACTTCATTGTGATATATAAAGATATTGGGTTCCAGAGCTGCAAAACACCTTACATATATATTACCATTTTGATTTTCATGACCTTTGTGTGGAAGGCCCACAAGGTGCTATGTATATTTAAATATACTTTGGCTCCACCGACACCCCTCCAACCTCCCACACAATGCTACCTAAAAGCTTGATACGGAATCACAACTTCAAGCACTGAAAGGGACACAGGAAACCTGTGGGGGCCATTTTAAATCATGCTCCCCAAGGGAATTGTGTATATTTGTTATTATTCCAAGATCAAAATATTTTCATTTTTGGTTCAAATTGTCTGTTATGTCTCAATAACTGAGACACAAAGATGGAATCCCCGGGGCCATTTTGCTTCATACCATGCCATAATGCGTTCAAATGGGTATTCATCTTTCTGTAAATGAGTATGACTCTAACATAGTAATATCATTTTGGTCCTCTTTGAGAATGAAGGGCAACCAACCAAATGAGCGTGATGGACTTGAAATGGCTTGCTTTAAAGAGTCAGTGTTTTAAAACCAATTCATTTTCTGAGATCTGGTGAATAAAATCTGAAGATGAGACGTGTGTTTCTTTCACCAAATCTGGCAATAACCTCACATTCACTACAGATTAACCGTAGTTAAATGATGTACTGAAAGCAAAGTACCTGGCCTGCAGGCAATTCAGGGATGAAGAGAGAGCTCGGAGAGGGACCTGTCAAAGGTAAGTACTTGAAATTTATGGGGAAGCACAATGACTTTAAATAAATATCTCAGAAAATTGTCACAAACTCAAGTCACTATCCATTGTCATCTTCTAGTGTTATATCAAACGTTCCCATTTTTGTTCAGACATACGAACCACAGTGATCCAGCTTCTAATACGGAATGAGTGACAGGGAAAAGACATTAATGCATTGGTATGATAGCAAACCTAATGAAGAAAAAGGACAAAGAAAAAACTTTAAGTAGAAAGCAAAACTTTATTTCTCTGAAACTTTTGAAACAAAAGTAAAAAAGTTTGGAGTGTCAATTTAAAATTCTATAATCCATTACCATTCCAAATCTCAATTCAGTAGCACCTTTCCAACGGAGGCTCCCACATTCTTGGTGTGCATGATGTGAGGTGATCTAAGCTTTGCCCATTTGGCACAGTCCCTGCTTCTGGCATGTCCTGAATCGTACGTAGGCTCACCACACCCTTCCTAGAGTTGGCATCACTTTCTCCCATCTGCTGTTACCTAGTGGTTCCAACACAGTATGGGGGAAAAGGAATCCCAATCCTCCAATGGCTACATTTTCACTAAAGAACATACTAGAATTATCACAGGAACCTTGGAAGCTGGAAGGGATCTCAGAGGCTCTCTTGGTCCAACCCATGTGGAAACAAGAATCCCCTCTATGGCAAACCTTGACAAATGGTCTTCTTCAACTGAAGACCACATGCCTCTTTCCTATCATCTGTTGCCTCCTCCTTCCAGAATTCTCTGAATTGTTCATCACTTAACAGCACACAGTGGTCTTATTTCTTTGAGCTTCTTTTCATCAAGGTACTTTTAAAAAACCTGATCTGTGTCCTTGTTTTCTCTTTCTTAAATAACCACCACCCGTGCTCCCATATGACCTACCCCTGCTTCCCTCTTTAATACATACTGGCTTCACATCAGTCTCTGACACAACTCCCCACATCTCCCTCCTCACTGGCATTGTTTTTGTGTCTTCAGAAGTTACGCTCACAAGCTGTGTTGACCCTGGGCAGGTCACTTAACCTGTTTGCCTTGGTTTCCTCAACTGTAAAATGGGGATAACAATGGCTACCTCCCAGGGTCATTGTGAGGATCAAATGAGGCAATATTTGTAAAGTGCTTAGCTCAGTGCCTGGCACATAGGCACAATTAACAAAAAGAGGTGATCTGCTCAAGGTCATGCAGTCAGATTTAGCTAGAGAGCTGCAACTAGAACCCAGAACTCCTGATTCCTCCCCCCGATCACTGTGCACTACATAAAGTTCGATTACATTGAACAAATTCAATTGGAAATCCTCATCACTAAACAAATACCATTCCAACAAAAAGGAAAACGGGCTGACCCGATCGTCATGAGTAAGGAGCCTAGAGAACTCAATACACCTTGCATCGCAAATTGTGCTTCAAAAGATTTATTACATTTTCTTTACATAATGGAATGTTATTAAACATACAACCTAAATCAAAAAATATTCATGATTGTGCACGGGCAGACTGTCAAAAATCCCAACAATCTTTAGCCTTCCAATCATACTTTCAGTTACAAAATCTAGAAACAGGCACTACGTTCAACAATTCAAACATTACATTTTTGTTTAAATTTAAGGTAATGAGGGAAGACCTATTAGTCATCACCACTAAAATGACGATCGTTTCATAAGTGATTACAGTTTCATCTAATACTCGTCAGGACATTTGTTTGGGTAAGTGTGCAAAATCAGATACACGTGTTACCACGTAACATTAGCGCTAAGGGCTCAGTGTCCCAATTCTTTCCTCAGTTCTGTGTTAATGCTGTATTGGAACACAATTTAGGGACAATTAAAAACACATTCCCTCGAAAGCCTTCTCTCCTCTTTCTACCTTAAAATATTTTGACACTTTGGCAAAATCAGCTAAAAGAATAAGGTATTCAAACACCTAAGGTGGATGTCCTATTTCAGTTTGAACTCAAGTGATAACAAGTTGCTTCTACTTAATTTTTCTACTTTTTAGGATTGCAAGCTTATGCTCACTTAACAGTATTATTCTAGGAGGAGGAGCTATAAGGACATGGTGGGGAAAATTAGCAACAGAAGTTAGCCAAGTTGCGGTCACACACTTCCTTTATTTTCAAACTATGACACCCACGGCAAGTTATTTCTGAAGAAAGAAAGTGCGATTTATTCTCCTAAACCCAATATAAGTAAGTATCATGCAACTCTGTTCAAGCTCAGAGCCCTCACCCTAAAGGCCTGGCACGGCTGCAGTAAGACACAGGAGATATCTGATAGAGGTTTGTTGGTAATAAGGGCCTAATACAATGTGCATTATAATGGCTGCCATAATTCATAAAACTTCATTTTAGACTGCTAATCAGACCAGATGTGTCAAGGAGGTGCCTAATTTTCTCAACACAAACCATTAGCACAGGACCTTAGCAATATATCCTCAGATCAGAAACTAAGAGGGAAGATCTGAGAGTCTCAACAGTTAGAAAGCAACACCAGCAGGTATCAGGTCAGAGGGATTCAGTCCCTCCTGGAGTCCAAGTCCATCACGGCCTACGCATGCACACCAGGGATCTGAGGGCCACCCAGCAGCCCAGGCAGGGCCAGTAGGCATCACCAGCAAGGTCTGCCGGCCAGGGTTTCAGCTCACGGATGCCGCCTGGTCCCTTGTTTCTGGAATCCCTCTCCTGTATACAAGCAGAGACCTATCGTGATGGCTACTGGTTGAGGTCAGATGGCTTTAGAGCACTGACGTTACTTATTCCCAACGACCAAACCAAAGATTAATGCACCTGACTGCCTTCAGTGTTAGGAGCTATCAGCAAGCTAAGCTGGCTGGGGGAGGAAGCATTTCCTAATAAATACAGTAATTCTTTGTGTCCAATACAGACCGCGTGGCGAGGCAGCACTCCGAGCAAGGACGCTCGCTCAGAGCTTCAAGCGGTAATTGTTTTGTGTGAGCAGCACAAACTAACCTGCTGTTACCAGGCAAAGCCCACAACAAAGAGAGATTTGGATTGCAAGACCCTTCCAAAAAACTAGCAAGCAGTAACCTAGCAGGGTAGGAAGGAAAATTGAGGGGGGGAAACTCAACAAGTCCAAAATCAATCAATGTTATTCACAGAGCAAAACATGAGTCAGTAGTCATACACTACAGGAAAGGGGGCGTGGGGTCTGGTGCCTGATCTTCCTCCTTGACTTGAAAAGCAGAAACCTCAGAATTGGCCTGCAGCCGGGTACTAGAGTCTTCCATCCTTGTCACAGAAAAGGCTCCTTATTTCCAAGTCTTAGACTGAACTCCAAGAGGGGTTGAGACCCAGCAAGCCCAACTTACATCACCGCCATTTGTTTGGATTTACTCTAAGCATGTGCTTATTTTACTTAGATGCGGAAGTTGGACTTAAAAATGTCGATCTAGTGGGGAGGCCAGTGAGCAGTAAAATTCAATTATTCCATCTGACAGCCCAGAGAGTTTACAATATAGCTTTGCTTTATAATCTAGGTGGTTGGTATAAAATCCACACTTTTTGGTTAGTAGGCAATAAGTGTAGATGATATTTATTTGGAATTTAGTCTTTTAAAAAACAGTAAGAAGTCATTCACATTCATAAAGCACTAAGATTTACAATGTGCTTTCCCTAAACCTGTGTCTACTCTACATTTACAGAATTTGTGAACTTTGATTGGTTTGAAATGTTCCCATCACCAATTTTAGAAACATTGTGAAAAGGAAAATTGTGTTTTCACTGAAGGAACTCAAAGGCAGCTGGACATCTGCACCAGGGAGAGGGCCTCAGTGGTCCTCCATGTTTTAGTCTAAGGTCTCCTATTAATAACACCAGCAGCCTCTGGTTTGAACTTGTTTGAGTTATCACAGGAAACTGAATAGGCAACACTTTCCTATTTCAAACGAATTCGCTTTTTGTAAAACACAATCTATGCTCGAGCTTGTGCCCAGATTTTAAAAACATGCCCATTAGAGCATATTCTATTTACTCTCCTGGCAAATAGCTCATTTAATGGCAAAACCTGAGTATTAGAAAGATTTACTTTTTCTTACATATTTAGGCAAGAGATAGGCCCAGCAAAAATATTGGGGAGGGGGTGTGTGTGGTAAAAATTGGCAACCAACACACTTTGGACCAAATGTAGCACAGAAACCTGACAGAACATATTGTTTTCCCACGGGTGACCTTCCCCTACAAAGCGGAGAGGGTGAGACATTTTGTTCATGCAGGCTTTCAGCTCTCTCTCCTTTTAGCCAGAAGGGCAGGTGAGGAGAAAGCTAGTTCTCTAAGATACAAGATTTCCTACCCTGGCACCACTAGGTCATTTATAGATTTCAAGTATATTTCCCTGGGATGTTTCTCAGGGTTTTAGCTATTTGGAATTAAAATTCTGAACAGTTTAGATTTGAGTCATTTTTAAAAATATCTGCACATTAATATTTTGGGAAGTCAAGTGATGGAAGACAGAAATCTAAATTTAAAGTAAAAATCGTAGTTTCTAGGTTTGTTTTGTTTTACAGGCTGGTCCTCAACAGATTTCAGTAGAAACTGTCCTAGATCAGTGGTGCCAAACGCCAACAGAAACGGATCCCTTCTGGCTCCATAATTGACTTAGAAAACCACAAATTAACATTGTCTAAGTTACATTGTATTTTTAATTTGGTAACCTTTCCCAATGACATCTGAATGTGGTTCTGCCCCAGCACAGCTGAACACTTTGGTCCTGGAGGAGCAAGGCGGGTAAGGAGGTAAGGAGACTCAGGACAGTAGGACCGAGTGTGCGTGTTATTTCAGTGTGCACGCAGTCAAAGAGCACATTCGGGGCAATGTGGGTTTGACACCTACTGTCAAAGTAAAACGAAAAAGAAATAATCACAATGAAAAAAGAAGCCTCTAGGAGAACATGGCCACTAAGCCATCCCAGCTTGAATCACTGTCATTTCCTGCAAGGAACCCAAATAATTCTGCCCACAACAGGATGTCAATAGTGCTAAAGGAGCACATTATTCACATTCTAAACGGCTATTATTTTATGGAGGGAACAATTTACAAAATTAAGAACAACCAAGTAGATCTGACTGAGATTTAATGATGAGAGCCAAAGTTTGAGGGAAGCATCTTTTCCTTAGTTGGTTCAGAAGCACCAGGACACCATGTGGTCAGTTGTTACACGAGTGATTTTGGATTCTCTGATCATGTGCAGCATCACAAAAGGCATTTCACAGCAGAGTCTCAGGGAAAATGTTATCTGAGTCTAGGCTCTCCCAGCAAGCCATGATAGGGGTGGGGCCTGGGGGGGGTGCTCAGTGGCAGCGGTTCTTGCCCTTCTTAACATGGAACAGGAGGGGAGTGAGAGGGAAAAGAAGGGGGAGGGGGAGAACACGGGACATTGAGAGCCCAGGCAACAGCAAGGAAGAAAAGGAAAGAATTCATCTGCTCAGAAATGAGCCCAGGACAGCTTCCTTCTGAGGGCCATCAACTACACTGCAGAATCTTCACTGATAACATTTTCCCTTTATGTTGAAAATGCAGAAGCTACTTGTATTGATATAAAAAGACATTCACTTAAATAGCCCTGACTTCTCTTCCAAGTTTAAACCATTCAGATGTGTTTTGTGGGAACTATTATTTATTTATTCACATAATTTCCTCAGTACATTTCCCCTACAGGACTGTTTAATAGCCTCTGTAAATTAACACATATGCAGCACAGTAACAATACATTAATAAATTATAAATTAACAAAATCTCCATACCTGTTTAAAAAATTATCAAATGCTAATCTCCAGATTATCTGGAAAATGAAAGATGCAAATTGCTATGAATCTGCCATGCAAATTAAATTCTGATTTTTTTTTAAAAAAAAATCTATATAAAATGTTCCGCAAATTATTCTGAGCTCCATCCAAACTTAATTTTAGGAACTTGGAAAACTTTTCTCCCCACTTCAGCAGTTATTCTTAAGTTTTCATATTTTGCCCCCACTTGGAGAGGCAGCCTGGAGATGAAAGTACAGAAAAAGAATTACCTGAAAAAACAAAAATACCCGTTAAAAGAAATTCCCATTGCCGGCAGCACTTAAAACTGGTCCTTCCTTAGGAAGTTGCATAGCTGCGTGGGCTGCCGCCACACTGCCAGGCGGGGGTTTCTCCCCCAGCGAGGAAGGGGCCATCCAGATTGAGCAGGTCTGCGGGAATCGGTCCCGGACTTCACTGGACTCTTTGGGCTGCGTTCTGCTCATCACTCTTCCTTTGGAGATGTCTGGAAGAACTTGAGATCACGTCTGCATTCAGAGAAAAAGGTTTTACTGCTGCTCCATGCCTAGTTTGGTTGGTGAGGTGTTAATCCACAAGAAGAGAGCCTGAGGTCATCTTTACTTTAGAATCTGAGAATGCAAAACCTTCCAAGTTGGGAGTAAAAGAGAAAAACCCCAAACCCCCAAATCCATTCACAGCTCTAGGGAACTTGAGAAGTAAATCCACTATGAAATTCGCTAACTTTGGCGTCTGAGTACAAAATGTTACCAACAGGAACTATGGGTGAATGACGATGACACACCGGAGGGATGTGCAGCATTTTCCAGATCCCTGCGGTGTTTCTGTGCACATCTGTGCGCTGAGCTCTGCTGAGGAAGGTCCTCTCTCATGTACGCCTCACCCCTTTGATTGTCCATCTCTGTTGTGATCCAGTCCCATAGAACTCCGGGTTTCTGGCTGCATATGTTTGTTCCCAGAGACGGGTCCTCATATGACGTTTTCCAAACATCTTGAAAAGACATAAGAAAACCTGTTAACAAACAACCCAAGTATGCTTAATTTACAGTAGTCCCTGACAATCATACACATCAAGCCCACAGGACTCCTCCCCTGCCACCTGTGTCCTCTGCTAGCATTTTGCTTTCCTATCTCCAGAATTTCAGATAAAGTCGGTATTTTACTGAATAGACAAAGAATAGTTCCTGAAGCTTACTTTTCCACCACTAACCAAGCCTCGCATTGTATAGAACTGCCCAGGACAGTGGGTGGTGGGAGTGGACAACTGTAGCCGTGTAACTTCCTTCCGTAAGTGAGGGACAGGTCATCTTGAACATAGCAGGTGTTTAAGGGAAAAAAAGATTAAGAAGAAAGTTTTTAAAAAGTTGAGTTGCTAGATAAAGTTTAGAAAAAGAAAATTTTAAACAGTTAATAACTTTAATGTTCTTCCCACCTTGTTCTACCCATGAGCAAGTTGCATTAAATAATAAGAAATAAGACTTTCCTGCCTTCCTTTCATGCTCTTTTGTCAGTGTGGTAAGCTTTTGGTGATCAGCAGGCCTCCTCCCTTCCCCGTCTGCAGCTCTCTACACAGAGCCGCTCGGCGCTAACTTGGGAATTCTCATCGGTAGTCTGAGGGATAGTGAGTTATTGCTATGAAAATACCTGGTACAACCTCAATCAGGTTACAATCTAACCTGCTGCTGGTCGGCTCACAGTCTAACAGAAGCATCTTCTTTGAAAGTCAACTCCATTAACTCCATTTTCAGATTCAAAGCCAAGCAATGGTGGGTGGCCAGATATTAAACAGGGCAAAGGCACAGAGCTAGAGTGGACTTGGACATTGTGCAGGCCAGTTGCCAGGCCTTTGAAGAGCTGGAAGGCACATGGGCCTCTTCTAGTCCAATTTTCTCATTTTATAGATGAGGAAACTGACCCTCAAGACTGGAGTTGACTCAGTATCTAGTTCCCTGTGGTAGCCTTGCACTAAATCTTCAGCCTTTAAACAGGCTTCTTCACTTGTCTGTGGCCTTGGCCAGCCTGGTGCAGCCCAGAGTCCCTGGTCAGAATACTATTTGAGAATGCCTAACATAGAATGTGAGATTTATGTTGAAATAAAAAAGTTCTCCAAATGTTAAAACTGGGCTCCAGGTGAAGAATCAGAATGCCTTGGCTCTTTACCTCCTGTCAGCTTGGGCAGCCAAGAGGCCTTTACACTGCTCCCTTGGAAGGGAACTCTTTGTGCTGTCTATGAACAGAAGGTGGCCCTCCATACCCCAAGCCGGCAGCGCCTTTCAGAAAAGGCCATGCAGACTGCTAGAGCACTGAAGGCATTCCTCAATCTAAAAGCCCAATTTAACTTTCTCACAGGATCAAGGGGAAAGAGCCACTAAGTCTCAACCAAAGCAATGTTTACTGAGGAGAACAGCCAAAAAACAAGCTGCCTGGAGGGTCTGTGCAGAATGAAAGCAGATTCAATATAAAATCTGGCCCAATGAAATGGTAGCAGCAGAGATAGACAATTTTACTGTTTAGTCTAAAAAATCACTTTGTCTTTCTGGGCACACTTGGCAGGGATGTGGGTTAGAACAGCACAGGGCCAGAGGACAGAAGCAGCTGGTTCAGGTTTTATAATGTGTCAAAGATGTGGATAACTGAGAAGTGGGGATTTAAAAAAAATCACATAAAAAGGAAATTACTGGACAACTGACATTAAATTAAAATGGAAAATTCTATTATAGCTTATTTTAAAAATAGGGCAAATAGGAAAAGAATTACGTACAAAACAGGAATCAGACGCTTAATCTGAAGGGTGCTCAGGGCAAGACCTATTGACTTCAAACCACTCGTCTATGCAGCTGGAGAAAGAAAAAAACAGAACAGAAGAAATGAGAACTCATGCATTTAAACTGGTCAACATTCAAAACTATTTTTCTTGTAAACATGACTATAATTTAGTAGAAAGGTGTATCAACATTTTCATCACAAGTTTATGTCAAATACATCTACATTTCTTTCTCTCTGTGGGTAGATGACACCATATATTACTATTCCTTTAAGCAGTGTAACAGGAAAGATTTTCATGAAAAATTTTATTTTAGTAAAAAGATGACCATTTTTGGAAATCAGGTTTGGTTATTAAAAAGTAGATGCCTCCGACTAAGGGACTCACTAGGCAGATCATCTCCTGCCCCCCCCCCCCAGTTAGAATGTGCCAGATGAAAGCTGGGAAATGACTGAACCCAGAGAATACAGACTAGTGGATCCTAACAACCTGAAGCACGCTCTCAAATGTACATATGCTATACTGATAGCAGTATCATCAGCTGGAAAAAACCCAACCCAACCCAACCCAACTTCAATGAGGACAGAGCAGGTGTAGTGAATTTGCTTATGAAATTTGGGTAGGATACTGGATGAAGGATGATTAATCCAGGTTCTGAGACTCAACCACATGGATAGACCTAAGACCCCTCAGAACTATGAACAGTCACACTTCGAATAGGCAAAGAACTAGTCATACCAGCTTAATCTCATTTCTCATTCTTTGGGAGAAGAAAAAAAGGGAGGGTCTTAAGTATCATAAATAAAGGCAGGGAATGCAGTAAATTATATCTATATATAATTTACCTAGATTTTAGCCGTGCATTTGACAAAATCTGATGGAAAAGTGGAAGCAATGTAAGGTAGACAACAATACCAGGTGGGGGGCAGGGCAGGTGGTAAGTGCAGCCATTAATGGCTGGCTGGTGTCCCATGGAAAAGAGATTCAGGTGCAGTGGGATAGGATGCTTGATTGAGAGTCAGAGCAAGGCCTGGGAAGTGATGGAATTCAGAGAACGAGGCCCTCAGAGGTGAAGCGCCCCTCTCTTGGCAGGCAACTCTGCTCTGACTCCTCTGCAGAATAACCCTGCCTGCCTCTCATCAGAATCAGGAATGTGAAGGTGCAACGGCACGCAGACGACAAAGCCGAGGGGGACACATAATATGGTGGAAAACTGTCAGATCTCTAGGATTCAACTTAATAGGACAACTGTAGTCTGAAACACGGACTCAAAGAAATCACTTCATGCAATGAGAAATTGTGACCCGTGACGGACCTTGCGGTGTTTGTGGTCTGCATGTGTGATGAGCCAACAGTGGGACAGGCAGCCAAGAAAGCACACGCGACGCGGCGGGGTGACCCAGACAGCCAGGAAGGCCGGTAGGAAAAGGAATTCTTATGAGGAGAGGCTGCACTCCACAGCCTCTGAGGGTCTTTCCAAACCTGCAAATGTTATCCTCATCCATCTCACTGTCCAAGAGCACATCCCATTTTCCTGGTGTTTCATATGCCTGTCAATACTTACTATAATTCAAAGGCTATCTGAGAGTTAGCAGTGGGGAAAAAGAGCAAGGTAGAGACCCTGCCTCCAAGAAAACGTGGCTAAGAAGTGACGACGAGATGAGCAGGTGCAGCACAGGTACTACTGCAGGCATCGCTGCCTAGACCAGAGGTGGGGAACCTGTGGCCTCGAGGCCTTCTAGGTCCTTGGGTGTGGCCCTTTGATCGAATTCAAACTTCACAGAACAGATGGCCTTAATAAGAACATTTGTTCTGTAAAACTTGGGACTCAGTCAGAAGGCTGCACTTGAGGCCCTAAAGGTCACAGGTTCCCCGCCTCCGGCCTAGACAATGATGGGTAGAGGTTCAGAGAAGGGCAAAATTAATGTTGATGGGAATAATCAACGGAGTTTCCTGAAGTCAGGGTGCATTTGAGCCAAGTCCAGAAAGCAGAGGCTACAGATGACAGCAGGGAGGTGGCCTGTGACAGGGCTGAAATCGAATTCTGCTGGGGAAAAGGCATTCAAGTGCTAGCGAGGCAGTGTTACACACAACATCTTTACTTAGGGAGATCCACCCGGCCGGCTCCATCCCAGGGGTAAGGGAGAGAAGAGTCCTCTGGAGGGGATCCTGGCATGAGATGACAGCTGGGATTAGGATGATGGCAATGGGAGTGCGAAGTACAAAGCGGAAAGGAGAACTACAGTGAAGGAAGAACTGCAAGGTGGTGAAGCCAGTGGAATCCCTGCGTGCACAGCTGGAGGGACGGCAGGAGGAGGGACAGACGAACTGGGCGTCGAGGGGAAGAACTCCTGTGCTAGAAACACCAGGTAAAACCCTGACAGCCATTTTAAGATAAAACACACATCATGTCTGTGTGGTAAATGATGATGCTCTAAAATGTTAACAAGAAATAATTGTCTTGGAAAGTTCCAACACTGTGCTGAGTGTCTCGGCTGCACTACAGTTTTGGAGGCTGGGAGGCCAGCGCCAACTGGAGCCCTAGTGACAAGGCCCATACCCTTTATGATAGATGCATAGGCAGGGCAGCCGCGCGATCGTGTCTCCTTGCTGCAGCTCTTCCAGGCATATGGCACACTCTCCAGCATCTTTACTTAGCACGTCCTCTAGAGGAAGAAAGAAAAAAAGGAATTCAGGAAACATTTTACAAGGCAGGGTACACTGCAGGAGGGTGATACTATCAAAGTCCTAAGATGGCCGCTGTGGGCATATCTTTTCATAGCCCACAATGTCCCCTAGGCCTCAGGTGGGGCATCATCTTTACTGACATTGTTAACATTTCATGAATCACTTCAACAACTAAGCCTCAACCTAACAAACTATGCCACTGGTTAGTCACGCTGTTGGCCACACAATGATATAAACAAAAGGGGGGCCAGGATCTCTGATTATATTGATAGAAGAACTTCCAAATAAGGAAATACACATGACTAATTCAGGCTGACACCTTCTCTTGAACTTAAGTCTCAGACTGACATGTTGAGGGACTTGCCCAGGGTACCCAAGGTCACACAACCGGCATGTGTCAGAGATGACTGCAAGGCCTCTATCACCCAGTGATGTCATGACAGCCACCTAAATTTTAATCCACTATTTAACTGACAAGCTGTACATTGGCAATAAAAACAAAAGAAACAATAGTTACTTTCACAATGAAACAGAAAAACACAAATAGAAAATTTTTTTTGACATTTATCTTGAGTGCCCCTACTTAGTCATGGATGAGAGGCAGATAGAAAACTCTTATTGCAATTCTGAGAGGAACTTGTAGACACTTTCAAATCAGTGGAGCCGGCTTTTACTATCTAATTTCAAAAACTAGCTTTCCTTTCCCTTGATATAGCTGTGTCGCTAGTACTTCTAAAAAATCCTTACCAGCCTTGGTCTTTTCTTTGACTAGAAGAATGCTTGCTCCCTTCCTGAAGCAGTCTAAGGAAAGAAAGGAGCTGAGAGATGTGACCCTGCCAGAGACTGCCTGTACCACTGGCCACCAGCATACAGGAAAGCTGAGTGCTGTCTTAGCAGGGAAAGCAAGAGGCAATGAACTTCCAGTGATCTTCTTAACTCATCTGGGCTCAATTATCTCTCCACCCAAATGATTCCCAGGTTTATCTAGACAAGCCCTTGCCATTCTCCTGAGGACCAGTCCAGCATCACTGACTGCTGGCTAAACATTGTGAACCACATGCCCCAGAGGCCCTTTCCAGGTTACCACCATCCTTTGGGTCTCCCAGGTTTATAACATGAGTCATCCTTCAATCTTCATTTCCTCCCACCTTATGTATCACATTCAACTGGCAATTCTACAGCCTACACCTGGCCCCCTCTTTCACTTCTATGGCCGCTTTCAGATCACCTATCACCTGTACCGCTGGGACAGCCGCCTTGGAATACCACCCCTGACTTTTCCAGCATAGGTCTGCCTCTGAAATAACTCCTCTGTCTGGCTCCAGGCCCCCTCTTTCTGGGCACACTGCGGCTTCCCTTGATCAACTCTATGTCTCAGTCAGACCCGCACACTCTTCATTCAGCCCTTGGTGCCTTCTGCACAGCCTGTCTCTGATGCCTGGGACTTGTCTCCAGTGTATCCCCTGGCTTTAAGTAACATGAGGCCTTTCTTGGTGCCCCCACACCTTAGACTCTCTCCAACCCTAGCACCCATTAACCCTAGTATTTGCTGTTTCTCTCAATGGAAAACAAGCTTCTCGAAGGCAGGGACTTCTTTATACTTCTAATCCCTAACTCAGTCCTTAGTACACAAAAGGCTCTTAATCGATTGTCTGTACTCCGTCTATGAGTGCAGATTCCCAAAGCATTCGTGTCTTCTTGTCTTACGAGATCACTGTCCATTTCTCCGTTTTCCCAGAGGTCCATCTAATGTGACTGCCTGGACACACTAAGCAAACAGGCTTTCCCTTACTTTGGACAGCTTTCCAATACAATAAGTAGATATTCTACTTATCACAGAAATTCAGAATCGGATTGTACCTCAAAGGTCATCTCAGACTCAATGACCATCAGAGTTAGAAAGGGACCTTAGACATCAGCTAATTTAATCACCTCATTTCATTTTATGGATTGAAGAAACTGAAGCCTGAAGAGATGAAATAATGTGACGGTCCTGAAGCATGCCTCCCTCCTACCACATGCCTGACAGTGATCCTTCAGCTTCTGCTCAAGACCCCAGACTGGAAAACACCTGCCCTCCAGTACTCCATTTTTGGACAGCTCCTTCCACTGGCCAAATACAGCTTCTGTTAAATGATGCCTGTTGTGAGCAAATGGAATTCAACTGGATCCTCCTTTCTATGACCTCAATGTCTCTCTAGGTCTTGGGGACATTCTTAAATGAGTTGTTTTTGTGGAAATCAAGTAATTTGTTTCCTGTTCTTAATTTTAAAAAGCAAGAATCTCTTACTAAATTCTCTCAAAGTATCTCAAATATTTTTAAGACATTTTTATATTTGAATCATATCTGAAGCACTTCAGAAGAACTAAATAACAATAATGTCCAAAGAGCTTCTAGCCAATGGGATAGACGCCTTGGCGGTCCCGCCTCCTGTCACTGCTGTCTCCATCTTAAGTCAAAATCAACAAAAGGATCTACCCAGATTATGTTTTTTATTTTATCCCACTCACCTCTCTACATAAGTTGAAGCGAAAATCTAAAAACTGAACAGGAAGGTAAAAGTTATAGAATTCTTTCAAACTTATTCCTCAAATTTCTTTAGAAACACTATACAGATGAAAAGTAAAAAAGTATTTGGTTCTGGATGTATATGTTACAATATAATATTTATGTATTAAGTTTCAAAAAAACTTAGTGTAACAGATGTGATTTATTTCAACTCAACACTTTGTACTTCTGTGTTTGACTTTCAAGAGATAATTGATTTTAAGATGGCTGAGATGTATTAAGAAAAGTTTTCAACAAGGGCCCAAGATCACAAAGCTAGTGGTGGTCAGGAATGAAATCCAGACCAGCTAGCCAGCTCACAGCCAGGATTTATACCCACACTCAAGGCTCTCTCCACTATCACACACTGCCCAGTGTCTGTAAGTCAGAGGCCTCCAGAGAAAGGAGAGGACTGAATCCTTACGGGACAGAGCAAGGACAGCACTGGCACCAGGACAGACGCCGCCATCTGAACACAAGTAGGGTAGGAATGAGTGATGGTCCTATGTCTTACTCCTTTGAATTAAAGACTGTTGACTTCAAAACTTGAATGTCACCTTAATACAATGGAAACATTCAGTAATAATGACTTCTGAGTTTGAATACTCAAGACTAGCATCCCTGCATGTAACAATCGATCAAGACCAAAAGAACAATTTTGTTTCTAGTTTGTCTTCTGGAAAAAGGAAAGGATTCAAGTGATAAAGATGGTTCTACTTTTTAAAACTCTATTCTATGTACAGAACCCATGTTCATGAATAAAAATTCATAAACATGACCTACTTTAATTTTGTTCTCACATATAATGCCTTTCACATAGACCGTTAATTACTTTAAAACCAAAATACTTAATTCAAAACAGCCAGATATGCAAAATTAAAAAATGTTTAGTACGTCCAAGCAAATGCCTATATAGTTACTGCAGATCAAGGCAACGTGGAAAAAAGCCAACAGCCAAAAGTCTTAAATGAAAATTAAAAATATCAGAGCTGTTAAGAGGCAGCCAAGAAAAGCCCATGTGTAATTTCATAACCATCATGAAATTGAAGCTCAAACACCCCAAGGCATCAATGAGCTCTTCTGAAGTATACCGAAGACAAGCACTGGGATCTGGATTAACATCAGGCATTTTACCTGAAGATTTATTTTTTGATCTTGAACCCTCAATGATAGCAGTAGAAAACAAAAGCAGCTGAAATGTGAAACATTCCCTAGAAAGACCAAGAATTAAAATAAGTTTACATCATTAGTAAGAAGCAATTACATAAAGAATGAAAATTGGGGGCTCAAGAGAGGTGTAAACACTAGGTATTTTTTAGGCAATGGACTCCTATATGAACTTTTCCAGATTCCTTATCCAGATAACCCTCCATTTCTGGGATCCACAGAAGAGCACAAGCCATTCCATTCAAACACCAAGGTGCCCTTCATATGCACTGTAAGAAGAAGAAACTAGCAGAATAACCATTATAACAACACATACTTTTGTCTATGTGGAACCCCGTGCTGCTCATCTCCAAACAACAATTCCTTCAAAATGCTCGGACTCAAACTACTCCCTCTGCAAACTAAGACAGACGTCCCAGGAGCATTTTAATGAATCTGTCTGCACACAGTCGTTTACATGTTATCTTTCTCATTAGACTGTCAAGTACTTGGAGCACACAGTAGGTGCTTCAATGTTCATTTCCATAATTTCCCCTGGCTTGCTTTTTTTATCCATCCTTTACAGATAAGTCAGGCTTGCAGAAAAGTAACTCCCAAATTCTTCTACATGAGGGTGCTGGTATTCCCCAAGGCAGGTTTTCTCAAGCTATTTCATGAAACCATTTGAGGGGACCATAAGAAAAGAGCCAGGACATTCAAGTACAAACCAACCTGTCACTTTCTTGTCTTTTTGGGCCTGGTCAGGAACAAGTGTTCTTCACCCAGGGTCTGTGGACTTGGCTTTTTTAAATTTCAGATATTTATTTCAATTGTAATCCTACATGTTTTAGTTATGCATTTGAAAGGGTCTATGACTTCAGACTGCCAAAGGGTTATGACACGCAAGGTTAGGAGCCCCTAGAACCAGGCATTTATTGAGCACCTATGAGTGGGCCAAACACTTTACAACTGTCATCTGATCCTTCCAACAAGGCAGGGAAGTGGGTCCTATTACCCTCCTCTGACAATTAAGGAAAGTGAAACAGACAGAGGCTAAGTAACTTTTCTGTGTTTTAGAAAATCGAAGAACTCTTCAAGAGTTCTGTTTGCTCAAGCCCACCACCACATTTACCACCTGCTTTGAAGATGGGCTTTTGGGGAAAAGGCAGACAGCAGGCTAAGTGACAGCTAGTCACGTGTGTGAGGCTGGGCTGAACCTAGGCCTTCCTGATTGCAGGCAGCTCTATGGAGGGCTGCTCAGGGCTAAAATGAATCACTAAATAG